CAGGTTACAGACTCCGCTAACCCAGAAATAGTGCTTCAGGTTAAGAACTTTGCTTCAGGATGAGAACAGAAATCGTGCTCCGGCGGCGCAGCGGCAGCAGGAGGCCCCATTAGCTAAAGTGCTGCTTCAGGTTAAGAACAGTTTCAGGTTAAGAACGGACCTCCAGAATGAATTAAGTACTTAACCCGAGGTACCACTGTAATAGGTTTCTTTTTTCTTTGCATCATAGAATTGTAGAGTTGGAAGGGACCACAGTGGTAATTGAGTTCAACCTCCTGCAATGCAGGAAACTTTTTGCTCAATTTGGGTCTCAAACCCATCGCCCCTGAAATTCAGAGTCTTGTGCTTGACCGACTGAGCTGTCCCTCACTTTCACATCCCACATCTTCTCAAATATTTCCGCTGGAACCAAAGAAGAAATGGCAACGTTTGATCCCAGACCATCTCATCAAAAACTTTTTTCAGGTGTTTAGGTCAACGTTGATGCATTTTGTTGGCCATGTATGAAAGGCAACAAATTACTTGCAGTGCATTTTGCAGGACTCAGGGGAACAAATTATTGAAGCCCTTTGTGCATGCTTCATAAGCTTGCTGGTGATCTCTGAACAGTGGGCAATAAAGGTTATTGGATTTTATATTTTGTGAGAAATGACTCTTTTAATAGGTGCGTTCCATTAATTGGTATTCATTTAGGGAGAAAGTGCTTGCCTGCATTTTTATTAGATTAAAAAAAATAATGATTCATGTTTCCTCCCAGTTCTCCCAAAATGTCAAAGTCAGAAGCTCTGAAAGTGATCCTGTTTTTTAGTGTGAACTTCCATAACCTTCTGAAGGCTCAGAGGCAACGTTTTTGAAGAACAGAAGGATTTTCACAAATTTCAATTAACTGTGCAAAGCTTTCTCCTTCTCGTCCCTTTCTCCTATAATTTCAGGGTTTCTCATCACACTTTGGTGCATTTGTATTTTATCTTTCATTTTCTTTTTTCAACTGGCGGACTAGTAGTTGTGAAGAATCCTCAGTGGCAGCAGCAGCAGACTAGAGGACACATTGAATGCCCCTCTGAAGCATATTTTCTGGGTCTGCACTTCTGTGATCCATTTGTCATGCTTTCTCTTCTAAATAGCCATGGAGATGCAATCATACAGCCGCAGGGCGGATGCCACTTTTCATTGCTCTCCAAATCCCAGACCAATGTTCTGTCCGTCATGCCCTCTACTCTCTCATTGTGTTGATTTCCACAGTAGAGGGAACATGTACACAACAGGTCCCCAAGGTAGGAAGGGAACAACAACCAGCTACTCTCCTTGCAGGGATATTTTTAAGCACTTGGTCCAGAAAACAGAGTATTGCATGTGGTAGGGATGACAAGTTTACTCAGAAAGTAAGTCCCACTGATTTCAATGAGGCTTGTGCCCAGGTAAATGGGTGTAGAGCAGTCATAGGCAACCTCGCCCCTCCAGATGTTTTGGGACTACAACTCCCATCATCCCTGACCACTGGTCCTGTTAGCTAGGGATGATGGGAGATGTAGTCCCAAAACATCTGGAGGGCAGAGTTTGCCTATGCCTGGTGTAGAGTTACAGCCTTCTGTATGTTTTCGTACATTGTACATTGCGATGCACAACTGAAAGGATGATAAAAAACAACAACCCCAAGACCTTCATTGGCTCCCAGTACATTTCTGAGCACAATTCAAAGTGTTGGTGCTGATCTTTAAAGTTCTAAACAGCCTCAGCCCAGTATACTGAAGAAGCATCTCCACCCCCATCGTTCAGCCCGGACACTGAGGTCCAGCTCGGAGGGCCTTCTGGCAGTTCCCTCACTGCAAGAAGGGAGGTTACAGGGAACCAGGCAGAGGGCCTTCTCAGTAGTGGTACCCGCCCTGTGGAAGGCCTTCCCATCAGATGTCCAGGAAATAAACAACTATCTGACTTTTAGAAGACATCTGAAGGCAGCCCTGTTTAGGGAAGTTTTTAATGTTTGATGTTTTATTCTGTTTTTAATCTGTTGGGAGCCACCCAGAGTGGCTGGGGAAACCCAGCCAAATGGGCGGGGTATAAATAAATTATAATTAAGGTAAAAGTAAAGGGAGCCCTGACCGCTTGGTCCAGTTGAGGACAACTCTGGGATTGAGGCGCTCATCTCGCTTTACTAGCCGAGAGAGCCGGCGTACAGCTTCTGGGTCATGTGGCCAGCATGACTAAGCCGCTTCTGGTGAACCAGAGCAGCACACGGAAACGCCATTTACCGTCCCACTGGAGTGGTACCTATTTATCTACTTGCACTTTGTGCTTTTGAACTGCTAGGTTGGCAGGAGCAGGGACCCAGCAACGGGAGCTCACCCCATCACAGGGATTCGGACCGCCCACCTTCTGATCGGCAAGCCCTAGGCTCTGTGGTTTAACCCACAGTGCCACCCGCATCCCTAAATTATTATTATTATTATTATTATTACTATTACTATTATTATTACTATTATTATTACTATTATTATTGGCTAGCTGTCTGTGTGTGACTCTCCCTCCCTCTCCTTGAGCACTGTGTGTGCTTGGAATGGATATAAGGCCATTACAAGTGGGACTCTCAAGTTACTGAAACTTTCAGGCTTGGTTCATAAGTTACCCTGTGTGGCAGAAGCACCGAGGCCCCATCAATTACCTGTTATGTCTGTAATGAAGAACCATTATCCACACCTACCAAAACGGACTGTCACTTTAGAGAAAATTTTGAATCTATTATACAGTACCTAATGCATGCTTCTTTCATATTGAACAGGCTACTAGCCTTTAGTGTTGCCTGGGGTCACAGGAAAACATTTAAGCTGCATTCCCTGGCTCATGAGAATTTTTTATCAACAAGCTTCGAGAATCTTAATAGTTTTAGCCAGACATTTTTCAAGATACAGTGGTACCTCTAGTTACGAACTTAATTCATTCCGGAGGTCCGTTCTTAACCTGAAACTGTTCTTAACTAGAGGCTTGCTTTCGCTAATGGGGCCTCTTGCTGCTACTGCGCCGCCAGCACACAATTTCCGTTCTCACCCTGGGGCAAAGTTCTCAACTCAAGGTAACTCTTCCAGGTTAGTGGAGTTTGTAACCTGAAGTGTTTGTTACCTGAGGCATTTGTAACTCAAGGTACCACTGTATAGACTTGGGAGGGGAGTCCAAAGGTTTAAGAATTACATATTTTGAATAACCAGTATGGGGTATGTGAGCCAGGATCTGTAGAACTAATTCCACATGCCAAATGGGAGTTTGGAGATCATGCTTATTTCAAAAAGCAAGTACCACAATGAAATCTTTAAAAATATGTTGATTTTTAAAAAATGGCAAGCCCTCCCCAATGCTACATGGGGAGGTGTTTTTGTGAAGCAGTTTTTTATTATGACCTAGAGCAAGGGAAAACAACATGGGGCCCTCTAGATGTTGTTGGACTACAACTCCCATCAGCCAACATGGCTGATAGTCAAGGATGATGGTAATTGTAGTTTGGTAACCTCTGGATGGCACCAGATTGCTTACCCCTTGCATCAGTTGTGGTGAGGTGTTTGTGATGGAAAATTCCACAAGGCACAAACCTGGAGTAGTTCTTTGAATCCCAATCGTAGTTATGACTTGACGTATTAATCTACTTAACAGCACGGCTAATTGGACCATGGGAAAGCAGAAACAGCATGGAATGGACTGCTAATTTTTTTAAAAAAGTGAAACTAATATGCAATGGAAAGAAACTGATCCATCCATCCCAAGAGGAGAATGAGGTTGACTTGCAGTAGGGGAAATGTGACTGACATAGAGCAGTCCATCCATTCTAGCTTAATAATGAACTGTTGCTTAAGTGACTCCAACATTTACAGTCTTCCTGGATAAGTTCAACAGAAGAACTGACAACATATTAAAAACTGTTTCTGGCGAACTATACTGTTGCATTACTTCTGTTTTCAAAGAAAACTCAATTCCAGCTTCCCAGGAGATTCTCCCCTTATGTCATAATAATGCCGCTTCAGAACAAGCTGTCTGTTTCCCCTTCTGCCTTGGGTAATAATAACAACATTGTTGCACCAGGAAAAGCCCTGTTCTCTCACACATCATTCACAGTGCATTAGAAAGGGAGAGGTGGGGAGGGCAAAGTGAGGCATTCTTCAACAGGAGTGCATAGTCTGAATCCAGTTATTCAAAATCACAATAAACAACAATTTCCTCTTTCTCTTCCGTTCCTGTTGGAATTCTCCAGCTTCCCTGTGCAAGGATGAGATATTGGCACATGCTCTGGTGGCTGCACCCTGAAGTACAATAGTTGTAATATCTATCTTGTCTGGCACAGAGGCTACATAAATTCCCAGCCCAAACTGGATTGCAGAGCTAAAATACAGTTGTAAAGTAAAGGTAAAGGGACCCCTGACCATTAGGTCCAGTCGTGACCGACTCTGGGGTTGTCGCACTCATCTTGCTTTATTGGCCAAAGGAGCCGGCGTACAGCTTCCGGGTCATGTGGCCAGCATGACTAAGCCACTTCTGGCGAACCAGAGCAGCACACGGAAATGCCGTTTACCTTCCCGCCAGAGCAATACCTATTTATCTACTTGCACTTTGACGTGCTTTCAAACTGCTAGGTTGGCAGGAGCAAGGGCCGAGCAATGGGAGCTCACCCCATCATGGGGATTCGAACCGCCAACCTTCTGATCAGCAAGTCCTAGGCTCTGTGGTTTAACCCACAGTGCCACCCGCGTCCCAAATACAGTTGTACACCACCCCCATCTCCCAGCAGTGCGAGATTCCAGGGGTCCCAAGTGCTTAACCTAGGGTTCGGCTTCCTAGGAATGAAGGACAGCAGAGACTGTGGTGTCTTTATGATTTATGGTTTATTCACACATATGCAACCTGAGCCTATTATGATGGGTCTCCAGCATTAACACCCCAAGATGGTCACACACAGCCTTGGATTCAAACAGGAATCAGGAAATATGGCTCTGTCTCTCCCAGGTGCAGTGCAGGAATCTCGTTGCCCAATGTGGGGCTCAAACCCACAACCCTGAGATTAAAAGTCTCATGCTCGACCAGCTGTCATTGTCTTTTCAGATGTACACATTTTACATTACAGGGCTGGTGAAAATGTCTTCTACGAATGGGTGGACTGGTTCCTCCAGAAACAATACGATAAGCTTTGCATAAAGTAAACGAAATGTGTTTTGACTCTACTCTTCCACATGAAAAGGAGCACTGGAAGGGCAGGAACCCTCACTCCACAGCAGAGTCCAGGGTTCAGTCCTAGGCCTCTCCAAGGAGTTGCTGATGTGAAAGACCTCTGTGGTCCTGAAATGCCTCTGACGGTTAGATGGGCTGATTTAGATGGACAATAACTTGACCTATTATAAGGTAGCTTCCTATGTTACTGAGATATCAGTTGTTACCAACAGGAAAGAAAGTAGTCAGTAAGTAATGACAACCACAAGATTTGTTGTTGTTTAATTGTTTAGTTGTGTCGGACTCTTTGTGACCCCATGGAGCAGAGCACGCCAGGCACTCCTGTCTTTCACTGCCTCCCGCAGTTTGGTCAAACTCATGCTGGCAGCTTCGAGAACCCTGTCCAACCATCTTGTCCTCTGTCGTTCCCCTTCTCCTTGTGCCCTCAATCTTTCCCAACATCAGGGTCTTTTCCAGGGAGTCTTCTTTTCTCATGAGGTGACCAAAGTATTGGAGCCTCAGCTTCACAATCTGCCCTTCCAGTGAGCACTCAGGGCTGATTTCCTTAAGAATGGAGAGGTTTGATCTTCTTGCTGTCCATGGGACTCTCAAGAGTCTCCTCCAACACTATAATTCAAAAGCATCAATTCTTCGGCGATCAGCCTTCCTTATGGTCCAGCTCTCACTTCCATACATCACTACCGGGAAAACCATAGCTTTAACTATACGGACCTTTGTTGGCAAGATAGCCACATAATAATCTTCTTTTGGCGGGATGTTCTTCTGCATGTGCTCACTCTCTTGTAAATTTAAAGGAACCTTAAGCAGAAAGAATCAGACTTAGCCCCTCTTCCACCACCCCCTTCAATATTTCTTCTATCCACCTTCAGACCTCTGGACTGAAGCTGTTCAGACTGTTGCATCTGGTCCATTTTCTGGCTTCCCTGCTACCCAATTCAGTGTTTGGATAGAATAATCCCTTGTCCACCTCTGTTTGCTGTTTCAGGTTATTTTCATCCCCTGTGCTCACTCATTCTCAGCTCCCCCTCCCTTCCTTTTAAAATTCCTGCGAGGCTAGATTATCACAAAATAAAAAGACTGCAGCTGTGTTGGGGAAAACGAGTCACGCCTCAGCAATTTATGGACAATTTCCCATTAATAAGAGATAATGGAGTGTGGTTCAGTAGACCTGCAGTAATATGTGCTCAGTCTGAAAAGCAGTAAATACAAGCTGACAACAGTTTACTCCTCTCCCAGAAACTGCATTTGCATGGGCTCATGTCTCTCCATTGTGAAGAAGTTTAAGAGAGGAAAAGCAGCTTAAATGGTGCTGGTTCTTAGGATACGCAAATGCGCAGCCCAATGGTGTGGCTCGCTTAATTGGGCAAAATACAGTGAAAGCTAAGCATTTCGAAAACACCTTGCTTTTCACAGGAGAGTGAACCACTTGGTTAGATTTGTTCCGTTGAAATCAGTGGGACCGAAAAGTGCCTCTAACTCTGGCTAGATTTTATTGTTGAAAAGACAGGCGAAGTCACACCATCAGCGTTGTGGTGAAATAAATGCCTGTGGGAGAAACTGAGAGGGTGGACATTGCCACTTGCCTGGGCAAGGCCTGTGACCAATTCCCAGCCAAGGCATTGTGACCAGGGCATTGCCCCTCCAGTGGGGCTTCTGACAGGCCCATTTTATCTTGATTTTCTGGTAGGGAATCCTGCTCAGTACTTTTTCTGACCAGAGAAGGCCCTTAATGGCTGGCCAGCACGTGGCTTCTGCTTCTGCTGGGGGAGGTGGATGGGTCCAAGGTCCGTAACCGCTACCCAACTGAGAAGGGTGAGTGGCCATTTTGGGACATGAGACAAAACAGCAAATGATGCCCTTGCCTGCCTTATCAGTCAAGGTATATGTAGCACCCGAGAGCAGCCAAGTTGCCTGGAACATGAGGTAGAAAATACTACAAGCACTCCTTCTTCTCCTTGTCAGTAAAGACACAATATGTTAAACAATTAATAATGTCCTGCCTTTTTATGACAGTCAAAGTCAAGTCCTTGAGGTGAACGCCTCTCTCTATTTCATGGTTGTACTAGAAGACTGAAGCCTTCCATTTGTTTGTTTTTTTATATATAATTTTTATTAAATTTTCTGTTTTACAATTTAAAGCAATCATTTTTACATCCTTAAGATATCAATGACTTCCCTTCTTCTCTTTCCATGGTTCATTTTACATATCATAAATCCCTGCATATTTTACAAAAACTATACCATTCAGTATTCCATTATTACATCCATCAAAACTTATTTACACTGTTGAATATATCTTAATGCTGCCAGCATTTTCAGCTGTACACAGTTGTTTCCCATATATTCAATAAACGTTTTCCAATCTTCTCTAAATGTACGTTCTTCTTGTTCTTTTATTCTATATGTTAAGTCTGCAAGCTGCACATATTCTGTCAGCTGCCATTCTTCTTTGGTTGGGACCTCGCTCATTTTCCATTTTGGGGCTAACTAAACACTGGCCACAATAGTGGCATACATAAATAACCTGTTTTGACACCTAGCAATTTCAGTCTGAATTATCCTCAACAGAAAGGACTCTGTTTTTTTTGGAGGGGGGTGTACTTTTAGCCTTTTACATGTCCACCACTATGAAAAAACATTCCCTCTACCTCTTTGCATCTCCAGAACTTATCTGATTCAGTCTTATACAACTTAGCAAACCCACTTGGAGTTAAATACCATCTGTAAATCATTTTCAAGCAGTTCTCCTTCAGACAATAACATGCTTGGAGCTTCAAGTCACTTTGAAGTCTTCCATTTGGATCGAGGAAGGCTAACTGGTTCTTACTGAGATGGTCGGCTTGCATCACTCCTGACTATAGGTGGATTGGATGCTACTCCATAGAAACATAGCAACCCACCAACCATTTTCATCACCTCCAGCCAGGTTATCCCACAGCAGGTGAGAGAAGTGGGCAGAGAAGGAGAAGGCGGAGGATTGGGGTGGGAAGAACATTCACTGCTTTCTTTTTCACCAAGGTAGGAGTGAGGAACCTCCATAAGCTTTTCTGCTACAATTTCCATCATTCCATTGACCATTGGCTATGCTGGCTGGATCTGACGGGACTTCGAGGTCAATGACATCTGGAGGGTCATAGATTGCTCCACCCCTTGGTTTAAATGGGCAGAGAGTGTTAGGATCGTCCTACTCGCGTGTAGGACCCCTGACAGAGACACATGCCCGACTGGCATGTTCTCTCCCTCCTGGTTGATCGTTCGGGAGCTTCAAAAGCTTTCTCCAGCCCGAACTTCACAGTGACTGATACCAAGAGGCATCAGCACACTTAGGATCCTGCAGAGTATTGGCAGTTTGTGTAACAGAACTCAGTAGCTCAGCATTTTGGCTAATCTACTTTATTTACATATAATACACTCGGAGCATTCTGACTTAGCTCCTTCCTCTTTCTCATCAGACAGCAAAGAGAGAACAAAACAAAGGACAATAGTCCCACTTTCCGGAACACAGTAGCACAAAACATCCTGTCTCCATCACTTCCCACACTGTGGAATGAAAACACACACTGTCATGTGATAGACAACAATCTCATGACTGCAAACACGGAGCAAGACTCCTAACAGAGAAGATCAAAGTGTTGCAATCTGGCAATGCTGGACCTTTAAAAAAAGAAGACATGTGTATCTTGTGCAGTGTATATATCCTTACGTACAAAAAAGGCTTGTTGCTAACATCCCCATTTTAGAACCCTCCAGAAAGCAGAGATTCACAAACAGCATTGTTTCCATTCAGGTGCTAGTCTGCGCCAGGCAGAGGAAGCATAAAAGCCCATCCGCAGAGCTGATATTTCTTTCAGCGTCACGCCGGGTTCGGAAGTCAAAAGGAGACACCTTCCTATTATCGTGCTGTGCTTGTCACTAGGAATCTCTGTTCCATTAGAAACTCGTTAATTGCCACCTCAATCACCCAAAAAGCACACAGCTGTGTTACTATTAGACGCCTGTGAGTCCTGCTTACCCTCAACGAGGTAGCAGGGTTTAATTGACGATATGTGCTTAGCAAAAGCAATAAAGATGCATAATCAATGGAATGTCAGTGTTTATTAATAGGACTTCTTAAGATGTTTAAGATAAAACCCGGAAGCCTCGTTAAGCAGAAGCTATAGATTGCTACAGAACATGCTTTTGCTTGGGAAAGTCATGTAGAAAAATCTATCTTTGCATGTGCTCCTGGGGAGCTAACTAAGTGAAACACTAGTCCGTAAAAATGGGATGGGAGAAACCTCAACACATTACTCCTGCTTTTCAGCGGAGAATAAATAAATTTCAACATGCAGACATAATTGCCCCACTTTATTAGACTTACTGCCACTCTTTAACATTTGCCAGGCCATAAGTAACATGCGTACCAATTACAGAAATAGCTCAGCATGAATATTACTATCTTAAGTTCTCCATTCCATAACAGAAGCTTGAATGTTGTTGTTTATCAGAACAGAGACATAGGTGCTTCTCTTCTAACTTCGTTAATCGATACCCATTGCACATGGCTCCTAGCAGAGAGTCATACACAAAACAGGCAAGTCCCTCCCTTCTTCCATCCAGAAGTTGATAACACAGTAGTCACTTGTGTATGCACTGGAACTGGTAGGGCAGGAGGCAGGGAGAACGACAGTAGGGGGCGCCAGAGCCAATGATGAACAAGGCTAATCAACTCGAATTTTGTTCTCCTCCTCCCATCTGAGATCTATAAGGGCAGTTGTGAGAATAAGCAAAAGGAAGGTGATGACCAGTGCCACCCCTTTATGTAAAATGCAATCTTAATAATGTTTTTAAAATGCCTTTTTCTTCATCTTGTACAGTGGTACCTTGG